CTAAGCATTGAAAAATAAACCAAAGAACCACAGTATATTCTACCTTTAACTTTTTGTAAACCATGTTTTGTAGGTTCTTTCAGTTTTATCATAAGGCTAATATATTTCAATATTTTGAAAATATCAGTATTAATTTTGAGTTGGCAGAGGTAACCTAACCAACTACCTTTGGTACTAAGAGATACACCTTTCAATAAAATTATTGAAATGCAAAAAAAAAAAAAAAAAAAGGAGAAAAGAGGAGTCCAAAAGGTTCCTCCATGTTTTTGAATGAGTGTTTGTTTTGTTTTGTTTTGTTTTTCCCCAAGATCTGCAGTATTGGAATCAACCAGATATGAGGGAGTCTTAGTGAGTTAGTATTCAGTCCTATTTTTTTTTGGCCACACTTGTGTTTTTGTGTGTGAATGCTAAATCCTGCCACAGCTTTCTTGCTGGACATGGTGGTCAATAGTGTCCGCCATAGGGCTGTACTCACACCAGCTGCTCCCAGTTCCCATGCCCCATGTGCACTAAGTCACTGCTTTCTTCACATAGCTTTATGGCCTGTGAGTTACTGAGGTTCTCTCCCCTCAGTCCCAGAGGGGTCTCTGTCTATACACCCCAGGCTGTAGCAACTGTCTAAGTCAAGGATTATCCCTGATCATGTTGGCAAATTGGGAAAGCACCCAGACCACTGAGTTCTATGCTGGATGTAGGCACTGGGGTGCGGGGGCGGGGAGGGGGAAATCTAGTCCACACAGTCTCTGTGCTTGGCTCTGTGGTCATCTCTCACCCAGTCACTGTGGTAGGATGACCCCAGAAACTCTAAAGTGTAGTTGTTCTGTGGTAGTTCTGTGACTCAGTCTTTTTTTTTTTTTTTTTTTTTTTGAGACAGGGTCTCAATTTGTAGTTCAGGCTAGCCTTGAACTCCTGGCAATCCTCCTGCCTCAGCCTACCAAGTGCTGGGATTACAGGCATGCATAGCCACACCCAGCTTTGTGGCCAGTTTTAAACAATTAACCCTTCCCAAAATGGGTCCTGTTTAGACCCTCTCAAATATGGCAGGCACTGCGCTTGATTTTCTTTGCAACTCTAGCCTGCCATGCAGCAGTTACTGTCAGAGTAAACCCCACACTGTTTTTGCAGTTCACAGTAACCCTGGGCTTTTCTGGATCTGCGGTGCTGTTGGCCCAGTTGGTTGTTTCTCCCTGGAGCTGCCAACCCCCTCAGGCTTGCCTTGTGTTCCCCTCCCTGGGAACCAGGGTTAGCATTTCATTCTGCTTCATTCTTTTCTCTGCTTTGTGCTCAGTTTCTCTGGATTCTCTGTAATTACTAGTTTTGCTCTCAGCTCCCTGTCAATTCCTGGAGAATTACTTTTTTCCTTCACCAAAGGTCTTGACTCTAGGTCCCAGAGAGGCTGTATTTTTCTGCCAGTCTTTGCTGTGCAATTTTTAATCTTCTCCCTAATTCTTGTTTATATAAACCTAGTAAGATTCTCTTATCCTTTTTAAATTTACAATCACACCCTAAATCAATAACTGAAGCACCATTTTAAAGTGGAAACATGGGGCTATTCTAATGTGTGATGTCTTAAAAGTAACCAAATGTATGATTATTCTTCATCCTAACCCAGAAAGTAGCAATAGTATAGGTTTGATTAGATTTAATTCTGTGTGTTCATGAAGATAAAAACATACTCCTCACACACACAAATTTTTACCATCCCAAGATTGTTTCCCCACGAAACTGGGGAATTGTTTTCTTGGCTGGCCACGTTTGCCTGTCAGCCAGAGAGCATGGTGAGGATTTGTGAACTGAGCTCTGATTTTTTCTCGGTAGCAGGAGGGACCAGGAGATTTTCTTCAGCAATCATTGTGTGCATCGTGTGCCTAAGTCCATGTCCATCAAATGGAGTAGGTTCAATTTATAGATGTCCTAATTTTCAGGCTAGTTTTGAGTGTGTAACTCCCATGGTTTGTATTTCACACTAGACTGGAGTCAACTAATTGAGCTCTGTCTCTTCCCACTAGGCAGAGCCATATATCTGATAAATGATATCAGATTAGACTCTGTACCCTCAGTTTTGATTCTGAGTGACTTCATGGGCATAGCACTAAGGTCATACAATGAGCACACGACAAATGTGTTCTATGAAAGGAACAGATGAGGTGCTACTATACAAACAGTAAACAGGAAAAGAGAAGAGTGTTTTAGGAATGGTAGGTGGGAAGGCCTCTGTGGTCACATATAAGACCTTTTAAATTCCATTAATCTGTGTTCTAAAGGGGAAAGAGTTAGTTGAGGTTAGGGAGGCAGAAAGGGTCCAGGCAGAAGGAGCAGCAATCATATCTAATCTTGAACACAGGGGAGAAGAAGATGGTGGGGGAGAACCTGAAGGCAAAGTGGAGTCCTTTGTGAACATGCCAGTATGAGGGGTCAGATCCAGTACCTTGAATTAATAACTTTTGTGGATTGTTTACTTACAGAAGCATGTCATCCTTTCACCCATTTTGTTACAGTGGACCCTCAAGTTATGACTGGCCTGACAAACATCTTGGATTACAACCGGAATTTTAGTTTTTACTTACAACCGAAGTCTTGGGTTATGACCAAATGCCAGCCGCTTGTGTTTTCTGGAAAGAAAAAGAGTTAAAGAGTTCTGGAAGGAACATTACAGCATCCTTTCCTGTGTGGGGTTAACTAAGAAATCCTGGGCCAATGTCTCCCTAAGGACACAGATCTGCCTATGTACAGGAGAGAGACATTGAAGGGTGTGTAGAAGAGTCTGAGCCTTCAATTGACCAACTTGCATCACAGCCAGCCCTCAGGGATGAATTGAGTTCATAAGTCAAGGGTCCACAGTATTTGCAAACATCCATTTTCAAACCCTCCCTCCCAATTTCTTCTCCTTTCTATATTTGGGATACATTTTCCACCACCCTTCACGAAGCAAATTTCTTTATACCCTGTGAGAGATCAGCTGAAGTCCCACCTCTGCTCTTCATCTTTCCTGACCACGCAGTATTGGGTCAGTTCTTCTCTTGAATGACCATAGCAGCTTGGATCTATCCTTAAAGATTGTCAATGTGGAAGGGACCTTGAGGATAATGAACCTGGCCCAATGTCATCATTTAACAGATAGTAAAGCTTAACCACACTAGCTGGGTCCTTGCTGTACCTGGTGGGTGGCTCCCTCTCTTCCATTGGACCCTACCTTCTCCTGTAACTGATCATGGGCTTTCCATTTGCTCAAGACACATTTTTTTCTTTTGTTCTCTTCTGCAGTTTATAGTTACACAGTCCACGATGATGGTATAGCTTCATAATAGAGCACATGCTTAGCATGCATGAAGCCCTGGGTTCAACTCCCAGCACCAATTAAAACAAAGCTAAACAGCGGTCTTTCAATGTTGCTTTTCCTTATTAGCAGTCATAATTAGTGGTCATACATTGTAGGCATACATGTATTTTTAAATGCAGGCTTGTAAGGACCCCTACAAAACTGTGTGATTAAGCTAAGTGAATGTATATCAAGGAAATAAAAAGTTTTTAATATATTATGGAAATTCTAGTAGAGCCTTTAAAGACTCACAAGCTCTTAATGTACTGTCAAACAATAGCCACTGTTAGCCAACTTGCAAAATACAAATTTCTTATAAACATCTGCACTGTGGAGAGGAGTACCCACCTGTCCTCGGCTCCTCAGTGTAGGCAATTTCATTCTGCCTTTGGGAATTATGAAAATTCTTTCTCAATCAAGATACTTACCAGTCTGCTCTGTAGATGCAGTTCATTGGATCATCATTAAGAAAATAATTTGGTGACCTTAGAAAAACTATTTCCCCAGGGTCTCTGTTAGAACAAGCTCTATGCCTTCTCTCTCCCTAACTTTGTGTGGTCGTGATGTGGCAGCTGGGAGACCGCATCACTCTGCCACCTGCCCATGAACATGAAGCTGAGCTTGTCCTCTCTTCCCTGGCTGGCCACAGCACTTGAACTTTGGTCACATCATCAGAAACCTTAAGCTTAAGCAAAGGATGGCCTTTAGCTTATTCATTGTTACCGACTTCATTTTAAATGTGATAAACTATTCCTTTACTATTTCAGCTGTTTTGTTGCCTATTAAATCATATATTTAATATTATTGTACACTTGAAAACTGCTGAGAGTAAGCCTTAAAAGTTACCATTAAAGTATATATATGAGGTAAGTGATATGTTAGCTTACTTTAATCATCTTATACATATATCAAAGCATCACATTGTACACCATATATATAATTTTTGTTAACTAGACCTTAATTTTTTTTTAAAGCTGTAGCCTTGGCTTTGCCACAGGTGTATTTTTATTTCTTCTTTTCCTAAGTAAAATGGCTACCTCAGGCTTGTGGTGAGAATTCAGTGAGAAAATCGTTTATCACACCAGAGATAAATATGCCTCAGAGTGTGTTTGTGGTCAGCTGTCCCTCCTTCAGCCACCCAAGCAAAAATAAAATCAGATTCAGCTAGATTTATGTTTTATAGTTTCAAATTTTAAATGTATGTTTAATTTTGGTCCTTTAAAAGCAAAAGAAAAACAATAGCGTTCTAAGCCAAGGCCCTCTGTTCCACCTGTCTCCGCAGTTCAGAGGTCAGGTGCCCTCGCCCTCTGATCCTACATGCAGGATTGTAGACTGGGTTCTGTGCGTCTGGCGTCAGCTCAACTCCTGTCTGGCCCACTTGGGCACACCTGAAGCTCTTCTTGGGCCAAAGCATTTCCTGTCTTGTCCTATAGTCCCAGGACATGCCCAGGCGACAGTGAAGTAAGTGGTTTTTCTCCTCATTTGTTTACGTACAATAGAGTGGTGAATTGGGGGTGTTTGAGAGAGAGGACGTTGACCAGACTGCCTGTGCCACCTCCTGTCATTAACACACATTGCTGGTTCACACCATTCCTGTCACAGCGTGACCAGAACTTGTGTAGTTCCTATACCAACTGTTCATTGAGGGTTTTTTGTTTGTTTTTTGGCAGTGTTGCGGGTTGAACCCAGGCCCTTTTCACTGAATTATATCCTCAGCCTCTTTTTTATTTTCTGAAACAGGGACTCTCTAAGTTGCCTACTCTGGCTTGAACTTGCAGTCTTCCTGCAATCCTCCTGCCTCAGCCTTCCAGAATGCTAGATTACAGCCATGCATTATCAGAGCCAGCTAGGCAATTATATTTTTGCTTAAGCAGTTTTTCCTCTATTATGAAATTTTCATCTAAGCAGTTTAGCTTTCTATGTAATCTTCTGGCAAGGTCCCACATGAGAAATTTCATTAGGTATTTTAGGCCTCCCACCCCCCATAAAACCCAGCATTCGGTTGAACTAAAAACTCCTTTATTGATATGTATGTTTTCCTTTGACACAACTTAAAAGAAACAGACATATATATAATAAAGTTAATTATTAGAAAATTAGAATTAGAAAATCAAGAGGAAATGAAAAGGAAGAAAAGTTTGCCATCATTTGCTTAGTAAGGATCCTATAATTAGCTAATAGACTTGCTTCTGTATTTCTGGCATCTTGAGAAGAAATCAGTTTTGAAAATCAGGGGATGCAAAATAATGTATCTTCCCTGTTGTGAGACAAACCAACTTAGTAACAGCTAATTTGGGAACAGGAAGAAATACTATATTAAATGGACACGGCATTTTCTTGCTGAAGAAATACGTTAATCATTACTCTCTTCATCAGGATTACAATTAAACCTGTTTTTTTACCTCCAGAATTTCAAGGTTCTTAGGATCCAGTTTTGGCCTTTCTCATGAGAGTATAGCCTATGACAAGAACTGTGGAGGTCTGAGACTTTTTCCCTCTTAGCAAGGTGACAGGTTGGCCTGCTGTGGTTCAAGATGCTGCATCCAAGACAAGTACTTCTCTACTCACAGCACAGCCTGCAGCCTGAGCTTTATGTTTACATAGGTCCCCTTACCCCTCAAGTTCCCCGCAGGTGATTCTTAAGGGCCCAGGTAACACTAGGTTTGCGTCACAGCTATGGAAACTGTCCCATCCCCATCTGCTAAAGATGAATGTGGCCAATCTGTCCACCTCCTGTCCCAAAGGAGACATTACCCTTATTGTCCTGGTCAGGAAACAAATCTGTCCTCTGCCTCCAAAGGGGACACCGTCTGTTTTCCAAGTCTGAAAAGACTGTTCAGAAGAAAAGCTAACACAAGATGTATGGAAATTCCAGAAGCAATTGTCTCCCTTCTTTCCTCACAGCCATGTGGGAGCTACCTTTTTTTTTTAAGCTAAAGCTTATAATCTTTGTACCTTTAACACCTTAGGGAATAACTGTATAATTTTAACCTCTGGTGTAGAATACCAAAGTTTTGTCTATATTCCCTGATATAGTTTCATTTTGTTTCCTTGTGTTACATAACAGTAGACATTAACAGAGAAACTTACACTAATAGATCAGTGTTTACTACTTGGATAGCAGTTTCTATAATGCCTATAAGTTTATGCAAATATCTAATAGCTTTGAAAACCCACTCACATGCAATAATGAGCCCTTGTCTCAGGGCAGGCAGATTTAATTTACTAGTGATTATAAGATAGATCCAAACTTCAGAAATATTAAAATATATGTGTATTCTAAGGAAGTGAAGCAAATAGTTAAAGCTATTTAGACACCAACTTTCAGGGAATCTGAATTTTTCCAGACTCACTGTCTTAGGTTCTTATCATGTATTTAATTTGCACATATTAATTCAGCTAACACTCAGGCATTGATTTCAGGACTGAGACGATGAAGTTTCATTTGAAATTCATTATGCTTTTGAGGCAAATTCAAAGTAATTTGGTACTTGATCGTTTCACTTATGCAGAAACAGCCTGGGAAAGGAAGCAAGCATATTGGTAGAAGCACATCTGTTTCTCCCCATGGTCTTCAGACCTGTGCTCTTGTGGCGTTGTGTTCGGGAGAGGCCTGCCCCTAACTGGTGAACCTGCCCCTCTCTTGCCAGGTGGATGTCTAAGCTGTGGAATGCCATCATCGCACCCAGAGTTCAAGAAGCGATATTATCAAGAGCCTCTGTGAAAAGACAACCTGGCCTTGGGCAGACAGCTGCTAAAAAGCACCCTAGCCAAGGACAGCAGGCTGTGGTTAAAGCTGCTCTCAGCATCTTGCTTAATAAAGCTGTTCTGCATGGCTGTCCCCTCCCCAGGGCAGGTATGTGGGTTCGCACTGGGAGATTAAATTCGCACCCTCATGTTACCTTGGAACTTGTTTTTAGGGAGTTCTCTTTTGTCTCTTTGTAACTAGAGAAAGTAGTGGACATTGCACAACATTGCCCCAGACCTGTTTTTAATTGTTGGCTCATATTTGAATTCCAGACCTCCAAGTAAGCTTTGTGCTAGTTCATAAAAGCAGGGTATTAAGCCAGCCTGTGATTTTGGAGAGGCCATCTCTCTGAGAATTAGGAATGCGCTTGGCTTGACACTATGAAACTGCGTTGTCACTACCTTTTTAGCAAAATGGGATTTTTGTTGTTTCAGAGCTAGGCCAGCACACAGCTGATTTCAAAGGAGGAAGTTTCCCTTTATCCATAGTTTCCAGTTACAGCAAGAAGAAAGGAGAGAAGAGTGGTGCTTGGAGAAAGGTGAACACCAGTCCTCGCAAGAAGCCCAGCCGCTTCTCAGCACCCCCCTGGCATAAGCTGGACCAGAGTCGTGAAGGTGAGGGGTGGGCATGCTGCCCGGAGGGAGGTGATGCTCACGGTCCCGGGCCAGGGCAGATGGGCTTGAATTTACTGACTGCACATTCTGCCAAGTTCCAAATGCTTCAGTGCATATTTTCATTCTGTATAACAGCTAATTTCTAAATATATTTACGAGGCTGCTTTCATACTTGAATTCCCAAAATTAAATATATCTTTATTTTGTTTATGGTTGTTTTTAGAATTAGTTTTTCTTGGTGTCTGCCATCCAATTAATAAATTTTGTACTTTGGCATAATTCACTTCTCTTATCTGCCATTCCTAGGCCAAACTTCCATTTTAAAAAATATGTGTAGAGATATATTTGATATCAATGTAAGGCCTTCACAGGTTGGGTCAGTTTCCCACCAGTCTTCCTTACGCATGTTGGCCGTGTGGCAGTTTCAGTTGGAGGCCCTGGAAATGGAGAAGGAGAAACAATCCCTGCCCTCATAGAGTCTCTGTTCTACTCATGAGCTAAGTTATTACCTAGGCCATAAGCATTCTCCCTAGAGTTGACCAAATCAATAAAAGGAATATAAACTTCAAGCAGTATTATAGTTATGTCTAACTCAGAAACCGGACTATGCTAAGTATTTTGAAAAGTTAAATTGACTTTAAGTCTATATTTTAATAATTTAGAACTGTTTGATATATCAAATATGATTTTCTTTGAAACATCTGAATGATTCATAAAATGTACTACTATGAAGTCAGTAATTTATAAATCTCTTTTGAAGTCAGAGTACACTCTACACAGTACATAATTTATGGGCCAGTACTTTGGTTATCTTTTATAATAATTATTTCCAATAATTGCACTGGATATAGGACTATTAGAACAATGTTTTTGTTGGTTTTGATTTTTTGACACAATTATTAAAAAAAAATTACCTGCATGGACTGGGGATGTTGCTCAGTGGTAGAACACTTGCCTATCAATGTGTGAAGCCTTGGATTCCATCCTTAACACTATACAGACAAAACAAAAATGCCACCACCACAACAGGAATCCCTTTGCATACAGAGTACATTTGAAGCTCACAAAATGTGGTAAATGCAACCCATTTCTTTTCTGACCTAAAACAGAAGGCATGGGCTTACATAGTGCACAGCCCAAGCCTAGGCATTTATATAGCAATTAGGGGAAAGTCTAGTCACTGCTTCAGACAATGAAAAAAACATGGGTAAAGAAATTAGTATAGTGATGTCTTCAGTGACATGCTTATTATGAGTATATATTAAATTCAACTTATTTTTCAAAAGCATTCTTTAGAAAATATTTGTGCCAGCAATTTCATATAATTTTAGTATTTATTCAGAAGTCTATATTATTGTGTTTATAAAATTGAGTATTTTAGAAACATGCTTTATTACAGTCTAAAATGATTTAATAGTGAGAAATATCTTACATTATGATCAGTATAAACAAACCTATTATTGCTAGAAAAACAAAATATATATATATATAACTGGTAGAAACCAACATACTTTTTTCGAGCAGTATTAGGCTATTTTCTTTTTTTCTTAAGTGGATCACAATTTGAACTTTAAAAAACATTGATAGGATTTCCATGGCTCTTTGCATAGTTTATTTTCTGAATAACACATAGCTATTAAAATTTAAACTTCCACAAAGGCGTTGCTAATACCACCCAGACTATACAGGCCCAAACATCAAATACTACAGTTGATTACAGCATTGCTAATGTTAGAAGGCAAGCAAAAGTAGATAAAGAGATTACATCATCGAAAGGTAGGTACTGTATTAAACTCCTCTTTTGGTACTTTGAGAATAAAAACCTAGGAAAACAGGGACTCCGCTAGTGAAGCAAGCCATCGACAAAAGTAAGGTTCAGGTTCTTGAATTAAGCTCAGGTAGTGTTGTTTCCCTGAGTTAATCATAAATGAGCAGTAGGATGTTGGTTGTTCCCTGACCTCCCACAGTGCCTGAGGCTATGGCAGTGGCCACTGTTTTGGGAAGAATCCCCTCAGGAGGTGGGTGCTAATCCAAGGACGGTATCAGTGTACTACAGGGCCCTTAGTTTATTTCTTTCAAACACCTAGATCTAGATTCACAAGGACAATGATATGTTCTATTGAAAATTATTACAATTTTTTAACAGGTATAAAAAATATGACTATATCACAGCTGAATTGTGACAGGAATGCTTCTCTGTCAAAGCAAAAGTAAGTTCCCCTTTCTCATTTAACTTGTAGCAAAGGTAAATCAAGTAACTTCTATCTTTGTTCCACATTCTTAGTTTATATAGTTATTATGTTGTTAAACTAATGAATGAATGAAATCTTCAAGTAAAATATTTTAAAATTCCTTAACCTTTATATTAATGTAAAGACTAGAAATATTATAAGCTTTGTTTTGTTTATCAAACCTCATCATTAATACATCTGACAATACATAGTTAAGCCCTACATTTATGAGCTTTTAGAAACTCTTTAGATAACTTTTCTAACAGATTTACAGAAACATAGCATGATTTATATATTCATAGCAATAATTTCAGTTATTATGTTGTTCCTAGAGAGTTATTATTTCATCTTACAAACAGCTGCCAAGGATGATTTGGTTAATCAGAATAGACTTGTTTGGGCACTTTGCAAATAGATCCCATAAATTGTGTACCCTGGTCACTTCATGAGTAACATTTAGGATCACGAACCCTAGTTTGCAGCATTGCAGAGGCGGGGAAGATGAAAAGAAATGGGGCAGTAAAGGAAACTGCTTTTCATGCTACTTCTGCCAGGTACACTGCTAGGTCCTTTATACACCTATATGGCCTATATAAATTTCCCAGTAAGCCTCAGAGGTAGGTATAAGGAATTGAGATGCTAAGGAAAGAAAACAACCTAAGTCATGGTCATATTGCTAGTAAGTGCCCGAATCAAGTTTGAAATTTGTGTTTGTTTCATCATAACAGTGTCCTCTGTAGCACAGGGCTTCATGACTCTGTTTTATCTGGCTTGAGATAAGAGGAGAGAGCAAGATTAAATTAGGACTCTAAGTACATTTCTTTATTGAGTGGGAATTAGCAAAATGGTATGATTAGTATAAATCTCTCAAGTTTTGGAAATGGATTATTGCATTAAATGTCATTTATGAAATAATTGAAAGAATATTGAAAACTCTTTCCCTGTCCTACAACAAATCCCCAAAAGGTACAGTCTGTAGATTTCTATATTGGAAAATGAGTTGTTGCTTTTAATTTGAAAAGTTCTTTTCTGACCTTGTACTAGGTCCTTAGAGAATGATCTCTCATTGACATTGACTTTGGATCCAAGACTTTCTCTGGGTTCAGATGATGAAACAGATCTTGTCAAGGAACTTCAGAGTATGTGCTCTAGCAAGTCTGAATCTGACATAAGCAAGGTAGGCAGACTGGGTCTTCCCAGTAGCAGAGAGACTTACTTAGAGCTGCATCATAACACTCAGTAGCTTGAAGAAATTTATCATTGAATAGTATGGTTAATGTTCCATCTCAAACCATCCCTCATTTTGCTTAGAAAATCTTTTTCCTGAATCTATTTATATAAAAAGGGAAGGGGTTTTTTGTTTTGTTTGTTTATGTTTTGTTTTTGCGGTACCGGGGATTGAACTCAGGACCTTGTGTTTGTGAGGCAGGCGAGATGCCACTGAGCTAAATCCCCACCCCAAAACGGGAGTTATTAAAGCTGGCTTTTCCAACTGTCCTCTGAAGACCTGAAAATAGTATACCAGTTGCACTGACACAAGTCACACCAACATATTTGAGCAACTTTGAGTTTGCTCAGACTTTCTTATTCCTCACTTTGGCATGTAAGACATCTATCAATAAGTGAAAATTGTAATAGCTTCACAGCAGACTCAGATTATAAACAAAGTGAAGATCATATTATGATCTTCAACCATTTAACAGTCTACCCTGAGCATCTCTCAGGCAGGTGTCATTTCAACCAATCGATTCTTGTATTGAATAAATTTGATACAATTTTTATATTTCTGGTCACATTATCTTATAAAATTAATGAAAAAATATGCCATGTTTTATCATCCTGTATTTAAATAATTAAACTGGTAAGTGGTTAAGCTGTGAAATTTGAGATCTAAATATGGAAATCAGTGACTTACAAATCTCAAAGAAAATAGGAATACAGTAAAATTCAAGCTGTTCTGGCACTCTGATATCTTCAGAAAATTTAACCAAGCTTCCTGATAACTGCCTTTTGCTTGGAACACAGCATACAGAGACGGTTCCTCTGAAAGATTCAAGTGTTGACTAGGAGAAAATATCCTTGACTGTCTTATTTAACATTACTAAAAATGAACTGAGATTCTAATTCAATGAGAAAAAAATCTTGCAAATTTTATAACCTTTTACTTACCAAGTGACTTTTTCTCCCTATAGAGTTCTCCTATTTTTTGACCTTTTATTTATTTATTTCCCTGGTACCAGAGATCGAACTCAGGACCTCGTGCCTTTGAGGCAGGTGTAGCAGCACTGAGCTAAATCCCTGGCCCATTGACCTTTTAGTAGACTCCTTTCCTTTAGGGAATATTTCTCATGTATTTGCTACTGGTTTCTCATGAAAGCTTCACCTAATTACAGGATTTGGGGGTGCATTCTGCAGTGCTCCTGAGTGTCAGGATAACATTTCTGTAGGTTTTGTCCATGCTTTTGAGTGTATCACACTGTAACTGGATGCATGACTTGATAAGTCGCATTTTTCCAGATTGCTGATTCCAGAGATGACTTAAGGAGGTTTGATAATTCAGGAAACAACTCTGAATTTTCAGCACCTGTTAATAATCCAGAAATGCCAGCATCACCAAAGGTAAGTAAGTGTTCTTACTGTCCAAAATAGGACAAAGGATTATTGTGGAATTGACTTCACAAATTTTCTTTCAGTGTGAATCATGAGGTTATTTTTAAGCCACCCCTAGGAAATGAAAAATGGGATAAAGATAAAAGTGCTCATTAATTAATCAAGGTAAAAAGGTTGTTGTTCAGATAATATCTTAAGCATTACTTTTTTCCATCTATTTGATACTCTAATTTTATTCCAGAATTTTGAGTGTCAGTTTTTTAAAGATTTTCCTTTGGTTTCATTTTTGTATGCCAAATTACAAATAGTGTAACTTCTGTCATTGTGGTTATTACATTTTAAAATGTGTTGTCTTGCATTTAAGAAAGTTTTAAGATTTCTTGCACTTTGGAAAAGTTGAGTTCATTACAGGAAAGGGATGAATATTCAAAAATTTATTTTCATCTTAATTTTCTAACCTCCCATAATATGCATTATGTTTCCTTTAAAAACAAGGGAGAAAAGCAGATAGAGCTGAGATTCCAACAGATTGCATTCATCTCTTGAAATCATGTCCATGATTGTGCCACTGGATCTTTATTGATTGGTTAAAGAGTGGCTGAGACAGCACCAAGTGGTAATCTGAGTGGAAAAAAATATAAAACAACTTTTTACCCGTTCATTATTTTGCAAAGATGCAGATATTTTGAAGGCACTTAGTATCATGTAGTTTGCTCACCAAACCACATCAGTTGGCTTCACATCCTGTTCTCCTCTGCCATTCTCATGGCAGCTTACAAAGTCTTGTGCATGAGACAGGTGGGGCACAGAAAGTGGGGTGATAAAGCGGCCTGATGTGACTATTAAGCCTCATCTAAATTGGGTAGCTCTGGGCTGCACAGCCCCTGCTGTTTCACTGTTGCAGTAGGTTTTGGTTCTGGGCTACCATGTGTGAAACTATGTGAACTGTACATGCTGAGGGAAGAAGGTGGGGGTGGAGATGTGCAGAGCTTGGGTCCCTAATGAAATCCATATCAGGATGACCTGTGAAGAGGAGCAGGGCTGTGCTGCAGCTCACTGTTGCAATGCCTGCACCCTCCCCACTGGTAACTGTTTAGCAGCACACATACACAGAGCATTTAAGTAAGAATGGGGTCACTACCGAGCATTTTGGTTAGAAACTACTTAGCTAGTGACTCTGTCATCTTTAAAGCCTCTATTCACTATCCATAAAAGATGACCTGTTATGAGTGTAGGTTGATCAGAGACCAGGCCCATTCTTTCAGTCAGGATTCCTTGTAGAACATATTAGAGATAGGAGCCATAAGGGTCCTGTGAAGTGGAACAATGAGCCACTTTCAGCCAACTTACTTTACTGCATAAAAAGACTGGCTGCTGCTGTTTAAATGTCTAATGGAGAAATATTTTTGTAGCCTTGTCTCTATGACAAGACCACACTGGGTTGCTACAGTAAGGTACTGTCCATAAAAATGGTACTGAAAGTGGTATCAGCTCTGAGCAGTTCAGGACAACTTTGTTTTAAAAGAGGTTTGAAAACAGGTCTTTGTATCCTATCTGGACTACAAAAGAGCTAAGCGTTCATTTATTAGGACAGTGGGGGTCCTCTTGCTCTTCTGTTTCTTTGCCCACTGAAAACAGTTGGAGGGACTCTCCCACAGCAAGAGGATGTTTTTCTCAAAACTTACCAGCAGAGGGCACAGTCTCACTCACTTGGCAATCTTCTGAAGGCTGGCAGGCACATTCCTTTTCTATCCTGGGGAGAACTAGCATTTCTTGGTTCCAGGCCCAGTTTCTTCTGTTGTCAGGAAGTAACTCCCTTTAGAGGTAAGAACACTGTGGGTTAGCTGAAATAATTTTCTCCTTCATAACTAGAGGGCTACTGTGTCTCCAGAGAGGGACCTTGCAGCCACCATTATCTATCAGATAATGAAAATAAGTAAATTATCATCTGCATCATCATGTGTCCCAGTATAACTCCTTTAACCAGAAGGGACTGTGATTGGGTATATTAATGGAAGGACATGTTGGCCAGCCTTCTTAATTAAAAGCAAAAACAACATGTTCACTTAAATCATCAATAGAAAGACATACTAACAAAATGTTTTCTTCTGTAAATGCAGACTAACATTAAGCTAAAGCATATCATCCTTGGTAACATAATAAAGTCCACTTGAAGTTTATTTTTAATCTCCAGTGCCTGGCTTCTGCCCTCTTTAGATTCTGATGTAATAGGTCTGAGGTACAACCTAGACTCAAGGATTTTAAAGCTTCCTGGTGATTCCATGTGCAGCCAGAGCTGAAACCTTCTGCTCTAAAACAGAGCTATGATCTGTCATCATCCTTATTTTCCACCCCATTTCTTTCCAAATGTATCTTTAGAGGGGTCAATATTCACCTAACTTCTATTCCCACATTCCCCCTTCATCCTCCTCCTGTTGATTCCTCCTCTTCACCTGTCACAGTCCCATACATCTTTAAAGATCCATCTCTCTTTCACATTTTCCTTTTCTTCTTGCCCCAACTTTTCTACCTGAGATATTACAGTACCTTAGCTTGTGGTAGATGCTTAGTATTGAATGAATTGTTCTGATTTAACAATAATTCTTTAAGACTAAATAATTAAGTTTCTAAATTGAAGTTTTTGAGTTTAATATACATGACAATATTGGTAGTAACCTTATATGTTTAATACAGAGAACATTGAAGTTTTAGCCCAAGAAGCATAAACCACTCTTAACTCTCCTACTCTGAGGGTTAGTGGCTCTCAGGGTGTGAACAGCATCCTTCTTTCTGCAGGACAGTATCCATCAGGCTCTTGTATGCTTGCACTCCCAGCTTTGATCTTCTGTGGCCCACACTAAGCTCAAGGGAATTCCCTGTGTTCTCATCCCATCACGTCACATAGCATCCTCAGCCCATCTACACACAGCCTGACAACCCAACCAGTTTTAGGCATTAGTTTTAGGTAGTTACTTCTTGATGGTTTTACATGGGCATTTTTCTTGCTGTCATGATGAAAGCCAAAGGAGAGACCAAGAGAAAACACAGTATGTGTCTGCTTTCCTCCTCGTGAGCCTTGGCATTAACCCTGTGGGTTGTCTGAGGAAGTACAACAATAATAGCAAAATTTTAATTTTTATTCTTTATGCCAGCTCACCACTATCATTATTTTATATCATGCCGTGTCTTTGAATACTGTCTGTATGTTGAATTTACTGATGTTTTAGGCCAAACTAAAAGTTCAGATTGGCCTTATTAGGCCTATGGTTAAGTCCCATTTTATAGACTTATCAGGAGAAATGAAGTTGGATTATGGTACCTGCACTGTTTTTATAATTACATCTTAGCATGTGCCCCTTAACTATCTAACTACCGAAACACCACAATTATTTCTCATTTTCTTTCTGGCGGCTTCATAGCATTAGCTTCTGTACAAAACAAAAACAGACCACACCAGCCAGATTGAATGCAGTCATCTTGCAAATTCCACTTCACCCTTAACCTACTGTAAAGTACAAATGGAGGTGATGAGGAACAACTGGTTATATGCATCCTGACCATCTGGAACATTTTTTTTTTCTGTGCTTGCTTGAACATAGTAGGTCCTACCACTACAGACTGCATATAGCTGTTTCATGATTCCTTACAGAAGAAACTTTTGTCTGGAAGCTATCTTTTTCCTAAGCCACACTTTTATAGCCTAGCCTTCCTTTTTCCCTTTTCTTTCCAAACACATGTGCTCTAAACCCCACATCTGTCCCTTGATTATATACTATTATAAATTTGATGTTTGCAAAAAACCAAAGTATTGAAACCTCTCATCAAGGGCATCTTATCTTTTAAGATCAGCCGGATCTAATGATTCAGCATCATTAGATTTCACTTCAGTAATTTAGGGGTAGTTTAATGGACATGTCTTGGGCTTTCAAGAATTATTAGGACTTCAATAGGCAAAAAAATCAAAGGAAAGAGATGGACCCAAACTTAAGACCTTGAGTGACTACTTAAGATTTTGGGACTTCTGCAGTTAGTGAAGAGTTAAATCATCCCCTCCCTTCCTATTTGCACCAACACAGCCATAATTTTCTACCTGCTTTGCAGGCAACATTGGATTAGGTGAAGGAGAAAGAGGCAGATATTAAAGATAATTTGAGGACTCCTGGCTCAAATGAGAGAACAGGAATAGCCAGTAATGACCCAAATGGAAAGACTTCTGGCATGTTTCTGCTGGCTTGAACCACCAGTAGTGCCTACATAAGCGTCCCATTAGGTGGCTTATACCACCCAGTGGTACTGTCTCATCCCACCCTATGGGACAGTTATACACAATGGTTCAGAGCTACTTGGCAGCAAGAAATATGAATTACGGGCCTGTCGTGAATGTGTTAAAGTGGATGAGATTGAGGGGGTATGATAGAGGGAAATTATGTTGAATAGAGGGTAGAAATTCAGTTCTGAAGCTTAAGAGATAATTGAGAGCTAGAGGAACAATTTTGGATGCTATTTAGTGATAATACTACACTCAAAATGGGCAAAAGGGAAAGATCACCAAGTGATGTGAATAGAGAGGACTAAGAATCCTCTTTGCAGCATCTTAGCCGCAAGGGGAAGACTTTTAAAAGACTTGTATCCATGTCATACCCCAGATAAATTATATCTGAATCCATGGGATGAGGATGAGTCCCCAGGTAATTTCAGTGTTGTGGCTATGAGGGAGAATCACTGACCCAAGACATGCAGGAGAATGCTGCTGCCAGTTACATTGCACTAAAAGCCATGTCATGTATTTTCCCTGTTAAATTCTAGTTGTAATGCTCTTAATGGTTGCACTGTTATTGTCAGAGAGGGAAAGTAACCAGTGTTTACAGAGCAATTTGCTTAGTAGGCTTCTTATCCTGTTTGCAGAACTTCATACAATAAGGGGAAACACCTCAAGTGAAAGATAAGTATCCTGAGGTCTTATACTAGTTTCCTCTTTGATGGGGAGCAAATCATCTTACCTATCTAGCTCTGGTTCTGCATGGGGAAAATGGCAGACATTGGCTAAATGATCATCAGAGCTCTGAAACACTGGAACAAATGAGAGCATGCAACCACATTTGGAAGATTCTGAGCCATCTAATCATAGAATTGTTGAGCAGGAGCCTTAATTCACTACAATATAAAGTCCATTAAGGCAGAGAGGTTTCTCTTCTCCTTGCCTGGCATACGAAAAGAGCATAAGAATACTCATCTCTCATAAATACTCAAAGTATTTCTTGAAAAGCAAAAAAGTGACTTAATTAAGGTGACATAATTTGTAGAACTGCCTGCAAATAATGGTTAGACTAGTCCAATTTGGTGATTTCTTCCAGCCTAGAATTTTGTGAAGTTCTGCTAACAATGAGATCAGACTCATTAGCAGCTAACTCGCTGATTGCTGTATTTAGGTGTTTAGCAATAGCAGCAAGGGCCTAATAAAAATCAAGCAATAAATCTATTGGCATTTATCATTCAGCTTCTCTGTTACCTTTTAACAAAACTTCTGCATGTTTGCTCAGAGACACAGGAGGAAAGTGAGCACTGATAAAAGAGAAGCGGGCAGTAATGATAAAGTTGTTTTGTTTTTCTTCTCTTGCAGGAGACCCGTCCTCCCAGCAGCCATCAAACTACCGAATGCAGCAACAGTAAATCAAAGACTGAGTCGGGTGTCTCAAGAGTTAAATCTTTTCTTCCTGTTCCTCGAAGTAAAGCCGGCCAATGTTCCCAGAACACCAAAAGAAGCAGCAGCAGCAGTAATACAAGGCAACTCGAAATCAACAACAACTCCAAAGAAGAGAATTGGTACCTACACAAACATGAACAAGTAGAAAAACCTAACAAATAGGCCTGCCTACAATATTCTCACTTCTGTATATTTCACACAGAAACCAAGGACAACAAGATTGTAAATACCTTCAGATGTTTTCATTGTAATATAAAGTATGAGTGCAGGACCACTATTCAAGTTTTTGTAAAGAATGTATTTATAACCAACATTTTTTTTTAATTCTGTAGGATTGAACTTCAATACCAAGAAGTTATGCCAACTTTTCAAATAATTTTATAATAGAAACCTTGAAATAGTTTTAATCAAAATGTTCAGGGGTATTAGAGCTGTCTGTGTACTGTACATTGCAATCTATACATATGTATATATGTGTGTGTATATATATATATATATATTTAAGGAATTCCACAAACCCTATTATACACGTTACAAAATGTGTACAACATTGGTTTAGCTAACATGTACCATTTT